CCTTAAGAATAAAGTTGACATCAACATTCAAGAATGTTGTGAGATTTGACTTCTGGCAAAACAAAGCAGACTGAAGTTTCCTAATAGTAGTAGCAGCGCTGACAGTCTTTTTCAATTGATACACCTTGATGTTTGGGGACCATATAGGAAGCTACATATAATAAGTACTACTTTGTTGCTATAGTAGATGATCATAGCAGGTTTACATGGATTTGTTTGATTCAATCTAAGTGAGAGGTGTTTGTGGTGTTGAAAAACTTTCTTGCCTTAAAAAAAATCAATTTGACAGGAATGTTAAGATCCCGAGATCTGACAATGGCACATAATTTTTCAATACCATAAGCAATGAATTGTTAGCTTGTACTGGTATTATAAATCAAAGTAGTTGCTCATACGCCACAATAAAATGGAATTGTGGAAAGAAAGCACTTACATATATTAGAAGTGGCTAGAGCATTGAGTTTTCAGAGCTCAATGCTGGCCAGGTTCTAGGGAGAATCTGTTAGAATAGCAGTCTATTTGATCAACATCTCCCATCTATAGTATTGCAAGGCAGAACACCATTAGAACTATTGTATGGCAGACCACCAAAATTGGATCACCTTAGAGTATTTGGCTGTCTTTGCTATGCCAGTAGATTCCCTAAAGGTGATAAGTTTGCAACTAGAGCAAGGAAGACAGTGTTTTGGGATATTTTGACACACAAAAGGGATACAAGCTTTATGACCTTGATGATCATCAAATTTTTGTCAGTAGGGATGTACAGTTCAGGGACTCCATATTTCCTTTCAGAAATGCAGGACAGGAGGAAGCACCAGATATCTTCTTATTCAGAGAAACAACGTATGGAAGGATGGACTCAACATATGCAAAAATTCCTACTGTTAAGCCACTTGCTGCACAAGACTTTAACACATTTAGATATCACACCTGCTACACCTCCAAGTCCAATGGCGGAGACAAATGACTCACTTACTACTTCACATGAGCCTCATAATGCCACACCAGACACAGGAAATTAGGCGGATCAAATGCAATTAGACGAGAACCTTTCAGCTAATTCATCTTATCAAAATGCATCCTCTCAACCTGATCACAATGCCATTCATCAACATGAACAAGAAGGAGAAGTAAACCAAGATCCTCATATGCAGGAAGCCACCTATAGCAGACCAAGTAGAGTGGCCAGACCACCAATATGGCTTAGTGACTATGTTACTACAATTAAGCCAAGAATATATTGCACATATCCTATATCACAGTACGCCACATATTCCCAACTCAGTCCAAGTTATCAAGCTTACTTGGGTTCTTTTTCTGTACCAACTGAGCCCAAATCTTTGAAAGAGGCTTCTTCAGATTCTAAGTGGATCCAAGCAATGCAACAAGAAATGGTTGCATTAGAAGGCAACAAGACTTGGGAGCAAGTGACACTACTAGTTGGGAAGAAAGCCATAGGCTCTAAGTGGGTATACAAAATTAAACATAAAGCCAATGGAGAGATAGATAAAGATAAAGCTAGATTGGTGGCCAAGGGATATACATAATTGGAAGAGCTAGATTATCATGAGACTTTTTCACTAGTGGAAAAAATGGTTACTATCAAGACAGTCATCAGCACAACAGCTTCAAAGAATTGGCTCTTGTATCAAATGGATGTCAATAATGATTTTCTTCAAGGAGACTTATATGAGGAGGTATATATGGACCTACCACAGCGATTCTATAAACATGGGGAGTATAAGGTCTGTAAACTGTTGAAGTCCCTATATGGGCTCAAGCAAGTGTCATGACAATGGAACATCAAGCTCACTACCGTTTTATCGGAAGCTGGATACTGTCAAAGTCCACATGATCATTCACTATTCACTAAACAAAAAGAAGGCTGCATTATGATCATCCTAATCTATGTGGATGATATACTTATCACTGGTAGTGGCAAGGGTCTCATTGATGAAGCAAAACAAACTCTGCACAATAATTTCGAAGTGGAGGATTTGGGTGAGCTCAAGTACTTCCTGGAAATTGAAGTGCTCAGATCACAAAAAGGGATACTTCTTAATCAAATGAAGTATGCCCTAGAATTGGTGTCAGATGTGGTATTAAGTGGTGCAGAGCTAGTGTCCACTCCACTTGAAGCCAACACTAAGTTGACTACTATAGAGTATGATAAGTTAATAGGATGCACAAATGATCCTGTATTGGAGGACATCATCGGCTATCACAAATTAGTAGGAAAATTGATTTATCTAACAATCACAAGGCCAGACATCTGCTTCACAGTCCAAGTCCTTAGTCAATTCATTCAATAACCAAAGAGATCACATTGGGATGCAACACTCAGAGTGATTAGATACATTAAAGGATCCCAGGTTTAGGGATATTCATGTCTAAGAATTCCACAACTCAGTTAAATGCATTATGTGATGCAGACTGGGCTGCATGCCCTAACACTAGGTGCTTAGTGACAGGTTATGCCATCAAATTGGGTGACTCTGTAATCTCCTCGAAGTCGAAGAAACAACATACTGTCAGTAGAAGCTCGTTAGAAGCTGAATATAAAAGCATGGCAGCATGTGTAGCAGAAGTTGTATGGCTACTTTGTCTGTTACAGGACCTAGGAGTGTCTATTCCCAGACCAGTTCCACTTCATTGTGATAGTAAAGCAGCGATCCAAATAGCTACAAACCCTATATTCTACGAGAGAACAAAACATATTGATATCGACTGCCACATATTCGTGAGAAAGTAAAAGAAGGGATGATTCAGACTACCTATCTAGCTACTTAGTTACGGATTGCAGATTTGCTGACCAAAGGCTTATTTGTAAGCCAACACCATCTCCTTCTTTCCAAGCTGGGTGTGCTCAATATCTTCAACCCTCCAGCTTGAGGGGGAGTATTGGAATGTAAATGCGCAGTAGAAGAGGAATGGAGCTAGAAGAGCATAAGCATAACTGTTAGCTAGCTGTTAGAAGCAGTTAGTGATTAATGAACTGTCAATTAGCTGTTAATTGTTAGTTGATGAAGTTAGTTAGAGTCACGTGACAAGCACGTGACTTAGAAGAAAGCATCAGCTATATAAGCTTGCATCTGTACTCATGTTAGTGAAGCTAATATAGTTTCTTCCATCTCCCTTCTATATTCTCTCTTCAGATTGATTCTAATACCTAATTGCTGCACTCAATTTGAAAATTTCAATTACAATGGGTGTTAGCTAGCTTACATATGTTGTTACAATGTGAAGTTTTAAAAGCCTTTAGGAGGGTGCCATTGGACAAGAGGGGATTGCTCAAATGGTCAGCACCCCAATCTACAATTCTGAGATTGTAGGTTCGAGTCACCAAAGAAGCAATAGTTCCAACGAAAGATGACCGATTATAGGGAAATCAAAGGAGAGGGAAATAAATAAATAAATCATAGGAAAATCCACCTTTGTTGAAGCTTTGCTCATTTGATAACTCGAACCCATGACCCTAGTATTGTAGGTGGGAAGTGCTAACTACCTGAACATTTGTATTCAATAGCTCACGTTATAACCAGACCAGTGAAAATTTCATCAGTATTATTTTGTGATTATTGTTGTTTTTATAAGTCCACAGACTCAGAATACAAGATTAGTATTTTTGAAGTCCACAGACTCAAAATATAGCAGGTCTGCCAAGAGTAGATATCGTTTCTAGTCGAGACAGTTAATCAATCTTCAAGTTCACATTTTTGAAGTTATATCAAATCATTTGTGAATATTTGATTTTAGTTTATTAAAATTCTTTAAGAATATTGTACGTAATAAGTGGTTAGGGAATTGGTAGAAATGACTACTCGTACTGAGCCAAATATGGAGTAAAACTAAATACTAAAAACCAATTTTTGGTTCACATAATATTGTGATTTAAGAATCAAATAAATCTTATAACTCAACCCGAATATGTAGTGAGAATTATGAAATGGGTTTGAAGAACTTTAAAATGAACATGCGCCAATGGCTACGTAGGAGAACGATTAAGAAAAGTTGTATTTTGTGTCTCACACAACTAACAATAGTTGTATAAGACCTCTTTTTTGTCTCATAACTTTATGGTCCCAGAATTTTATGAACCCAGATGTGTAAGATATAGGTACACAAATATGTGAGATAAAAAGATGCCTCATACAACTCATGTAAGTTGTGTGAGAGACAAAATAAAACCAGTCAAGGATTAATCACTTGGCAGAGCCATTGACCCGATCAGTCCACATCATCCGCTACAAAGAAAAATAAGAGTATAATAAAGACAAAAACTAAAATATAAGTAATTAAATAAAGAATAAAATAGTAGTAGAAGAGTAAATCCAAAGCAACTCTCGCTATCTTTGTGTCCGATAAACAGAAGTCCAAACAAACAAACAAAACAAAACAAAGACCATTAATTGCATCCTTCGTTAAAAGAATGAATGCTAACTCTTTCATAGCCGCATTTCTCTGTTCTTTCAGTACAATCATTACTTTTACTCTCAAATCAAACACTCCTACCCCCAAAACATACTCTCTCTTCGTACTATTTTTCTTTTCTTTCACCCCAGCCACGCCCCACTCAGATTTACTAGTAAAAAGATTAGAGGAGAAAGTATTTACTGTTAAAATTGAGCTCATGGTCAAGTCTCATTCAAAGACAGGTTCCACAATCTCGACTTTTCTTTCTCTGCAACCTTACTTCTGGCCTTTTCCTATACAAGTCTCACTTTTCTTTCCATTTGGAGATGCCCTAGGATTCAACATCGGTCACAGAAGTTCTCAAAATCCTCCTCCTTTGGACTTCTTGGTCAAATAAAATACTATGGAAAATAAAAATTACAGTAAACAAAAGCAGTTGAACAAGTCTAAATTGAACAGATCTAGTTCTACAGCAAAGATTTGAAATGGTGGTTTCATTTCCCTCTCTTGGTTCTGATTTTACTTTGTGACTAAGGAGTTAGGGCGGTGTGTTTTATTTGTTTTTTCTCTGGGCCCCCATTGACGAGATGGATGAAAAGAAAGGAGAAATCACAAAGAAACAACCACAACAACATTTATCCAACTCGCCTGATGACTCTAATCAAGATTCACCTGATAATACTATACCACAGCAACAGCAACCGCAAACTGTGATTTCTGGAGCTCCTTATATTTCTTCTTCTCTCTATAATATCCCAGGCGGTGCAGCAACTACATCTGTTTCTTTCGAACAACAACAACAACAGCAGCAGTTTGAAGTTGTGAACCCAAAGCGACCTAGATATACTGCAAGTCAATGGAAATTCGTATCATCTTCTTCTCAACAACAACAGCAAAAGCCGGCCAGTCAAGTGAATATACTTAGCACCGAGTCAAGTCCAATTTCACCTTCGCCGCAAGCTGCTGCTACCAACCCTCAAACTCAAGCTGCCTCGTCTTCGGACACAACTTCTTCTCCTTCCCACTCTCCTCGGCCTTCTGCATCTGGGCAAGAAACCAGCAAAGGCGAAGCAGGAGAACAAGTTCACCAACAACACCAACAATTTCGGAAAGGAAAATACGTCAGTCCAGTTTGGAAACCTAACGAGATGTTGTGGCTAGCTAGGGCTTGGAAAATTCAGTACCAAGGTGGTTCATCAGAGCTACATGTAGAAGGTTCTCAAGAAATGAGTACAGGCGCGGGAGTGCAACAAGGTAGAGGAAAAACTCGAGCTGATAAAGATAGAGAAGTGGCTGATTTTCTCAACAGGCATGGAGTTAACAGAGATGCTAAAACTGCTGGAACTAAGTGGGACAACATGTTAGGTGAATTCAGAAAAGTTTACGAATGGGAGAGAGGTGCTGAGAGGGAACAAGGTAGCAAGAGTTATTTTAGACTATCCCCTTATGAAAGGAAGATGAATAGATTGCCTGCTTCATTTGATGAAGAGGTGTTTGAAGAATTATCTCAGTTTATGGGCCCTAGAATGAGAAGTCCTCAAACTAGAGGAGGAGTTGGAGTTGGAGTTGGAGTTGGAAGTCAGGCCAATATTATCGTCTCTCTTAGCGACACAGCCACAAGGTCTTTGCCTCCCCCTCCACCTTTCAGAGAAGATGACCTTCCTCTCTCTGGTATGCTGTCAACAACATCAACTCCATTTCCCATAAATGAGGAAGATGAATTTATTTCTTTTCTTCTTAATTTAATTTGCTCTTGTTTTCTTAACGTACGTATGCACAACATTAAATTTTGATGGGCCAATATTTCTTGTTAATGCAGCAAGGGAAAAACAGTTGGCTATACCAATAAGTGGAACAGAAGCATTACTACATGGAACAAGAGGTGGGTTCTTAGGGTACGACACAACTACTACTTCATTAGATATTGGAGGTCCATCTTCTTCTACTTCTTCGAAAGAGCTTCGTCGCATTGGCAAGATTAGAATGATATGGGAGGAATCAGTGAGCTTGTGGGCAGAAGAAGGTGAGCATCACAGAGGTAGAGTGAAGCTTCAAGGTACAAGTTTTTTAAACGCCGATGAAATTGCTTTCTTGGATGATTCTACGGTTGCCTGCACAATGGAGGCCTTTGAAGATGGACCTATGAAAGGTTTTTCCGTTGATAGATTCCTTTCTGGAGTACAACTAAAAGTCTTTGGCAGGAGAAAATCCTCTTCAGCTCCTGCTCCTTCTGGTATTATATTTTATTTACTGGAATTGTTTAAGTGCAATTTTTTTAATATTTAGAATGTACGAGTCCTAATCATTAATTCTACGAAGTAACGGTTTTTCTTCTTCTGTTGAATCTAGGTACCAATGAAAGATTGCAATTTCCCTCTTCTGAATTTCCCATCAGATGTAAGTCTCTTCCATAAATTTCGATTTTCTATTTGTGAAAAGCCAATGATTTAGAAATTTTCTATTCCTTTCCCTCAGAGCTAAATGAATTTTATATTAGTCAATTACCAGATTCCCATTAATAGCATCTTGTTGCTTTCAACTGGATTTTAAATAAATATAAAATAATTGCAGCAGCTACTCCTTGGGAATTTCAAGATCCAACTGAGTACTACGTGGGTTGTCTAAGATCTCCACCACCTACCCTTCCAAGCTTGTTTGAACTCTCATGGCATTTACAACAGGCACCACCGGAGGAGCTCCGTTTCCCACTTCGGAGAGATGTGTTCAAAGATTTGCCTCAAGGGAAAGAATTATTTTTCACAACTTCAACTGAGTTATTAGACTGTAGAGGCATCACGTACGAGGTCTTGAGCTCTATTATGCGCCCAAACCCTAGCCTGAGTACGGCAACTGATAGAGACTCTTATATTGGACTTTGGGATGATTGCATCAATAGGATTATATCCAAGTTTTGCTCCATAGAAATGGTATTCGTACGGAAATCTAATTCATCGTTTTCTCTTGCGGATACAGTGCAAGATCAGTGGCCTAATGTTACTGCTTTCTTGAGGAATTTTTGCTTGTGGAGAGGAGAGGAGACTGGTCAACTAAGTGAAGGTCAACTAGATCCATCTTCTTCTATTGTGGAGAAACTTCTCTGGACTTATATGGATCTTCCTTACGTGTTAGGTTACTATGCCGTTGGCTTCATTGTTACATTCTGTGCTTTAAGTCGATCACAGGATCGTATTATCCGAACGGATCTTTACACTGTAGATCTCTCAACCCCAGTTGAAAGATTGAAAGCTTTAGTTCCATGTTGGAGAATTGCTGGATTATTACCATTATTAGCTGATCGATGTTTCCATTATATGAGCAGCAATGGGAGTAATTTAAAACATCTCCCTTATACTGATTTTGAGAGAGTAGATTTGGGTAATGGGAATTATGTGGAGATGACTCCAAATACAGTGGTCAGATATTTCTCAAGTAAAAGAAAATGGGTGGCAGTCAAAGAAATATACGATTTTCTTGACCATAGAATCCCACATGCGGAATTTGTTTTTAGGGCATCTGAAAAGGATTTAGCTTTGGTCTTTAAGCCTAGAGGCTGCAAGTTCAAGCCGGCTAATTGTGATCAACTAATAGAAGCATTAAAGCAAATCACTAAAGCTTTGGTTGCATTACATGATCTTTCTTTTATGCACAGGGATTTGGGATGGGATAAAGTCATGAGGAGAAGTGACAGGGAAAATGAATGGTTCATTACGGGATTTGACGAGGCAGTGAGTTCGCCGCAGCTATATCCTTACGGAGGAGCAGCCGCGGCGGCGACGGCTAGTGGGAGGCACCCGCCGGAGATGGTGAGGAATTATCATAATGTGAAAGTGGATGTATGGGGAATAGGTCAATTAGTGAAGAGTTGTGGGTTGGTGGGGGTGCCAAAATTGCTGAGGGAATTGCAGACCAGATGTTTGGACCAAAACCCGGAGCAGCGACCGACGGCGGCTGACTGCTATCGCCACTTGTTGCAGTTGCAGTCTTCAATGTCTGCAGCCGCCGCCGGAGGATATTGACAAGTGATGGATCTGATACCCTATATATATATTATGTGATTGATGCGTACTCAATTTAATATTCTCCATGCACTTCTTCTTTCTTTTTTTGCTGAAGCAGTGAAAGCCACGTAGTTTAATTTGCCTCATTATTTTACGCTACTGTTCTTGACTCTCTCTTTATTTCTTTCTTCCTCGAATTTGATTTATTGTTTTTGGAAACATGAACTCATAACAGGTAGAATTCAGATTGACTTTTCATATTCAGTACCACATGTATTTTCTTCTTTTATGTTCCTAATCTGAGATCTTTATTGTTTTGTCCAAAGTCAGTGCAGCAATTTTTATTCAAGATTTTTCATGATAGTTACTTTCTCTCTAAAAATACAGTACTATTGGGTATAATTTTATCAGTTGTAGAAATTCCATGTTTTATTATGTGATAGAGAGTATATATTTTTTACTTTCTACTATTTGAGATCAAATGTATAAACTTCATATTTATAATGTGTTTGAGTTTTTTTATTTTATTTTTTATTTTGTTTTTATTTTTTAACTTTTCGCCATGCAGTTTTCCATTCTTTTGTAAAAACATAAATTTAATATGTTACATATAAACACTTTATATTTTCAAATTTGTCTTAAAAATTGTGTAAACTATAAGTAAAATAATTATATCATGAGATGGATTATTGTCTTCACCTAAATGATATTCTAGACATTATTAACTAATTTAGCCAGTCCTCTCTTTTTCGAGAGATTTCGTTTGTCTGTTTTGAAATTGTTGTCATTAATTTTAGTGTTGTTCCTGTATATATTTCGCTCTTTTGTTTTGGTTAATGTATTTCTGAGTCAAACCTTCACCATGATGCCCTCTCCACTTTAAATTTTATCACCTGTATAAAATAATTCTCTGCCATATCAGTTAAAATTTTCTCGGTTTCACTTTATTTTCACGGGTAATAACTTGGTTGTTTCATTAATTGAAATCAAATTGTATGAATAAGTTTAATTTCATGTATACCTTATTAGATGTATTTGTTAGCTGCCATGGCTATCAGTGATCAGCTGATCAGTGTCTCTTGCAGGCCTAATCAATTCTAGACCAGGGGCTTCTTAAATGTACCTTACTACCCTTAAATCAGCTTCCATATGAGAGGCCTTGGGACAATGCATATATTGACTTAGTGCATATATTGATTTAGTATCTGTACTAAAAATGCAACATTAGGTTTGGTTATAGTGAAATACAACACTCTCCCCATCAGCCTTTGATAGCTACTAGGATAAATGTGAAATACACATTTATCATACTGTACTGTTGTGAGCTTCTGATTTATTTCTAGAGGAGCTCCAGCTGGCTTTGCACCTCCTAGGCCTGCCTCAATAACTAGCTCAAGAGCATATTTCCTTTGACTCATAAAAATGTCCTTGCTTGATCTTGCAAACTCAATACCTACATAAAAAGATTTTTATTTTTCGTTTATTTTATCCATTAATTTATCAGAATTACGCTTGATCTGATTCATGAGGGACATGATACGTAGGCAACCTACATAAGGTTCGATCGAATCATCATTAAATAAAAAAGAAAAAAAAGAAAAACAAAAAGAAAAAGAAAAAAAAAAGAGAATGAAGTTGTTGGACGTGAGAAATGAGAGAAAAGAAAAGAGCGATAAGCAAAAAGAAAAGAGGAGAAAGGAAATAGAAAACCAAGCGGGTGTTAGAAAGGAAAATGAAGAAGGAAACGGGGCAAGAAGAGTGAAATTGGGATGATGCCATATGACCTTCGTACCCTCGAAGTCATTTGAGAACCGATAACTATGACTAGGTGCATTGCACATAAAGTGAGATTATCTTATGTTAAATGCCATAACGCTAACATGATGACTTCATTTTGTTCCTCTTTGTTATCTTCATTATAGCAGATGGGTGGTTGGTTTGTGGTTCTTAAAGTGGTAACTGTTCTCTATAGCATAAAGTCGAAAGGCAATGGCAGATGACAACAAAATTGAGTTGGTTGATACTGGTGCCCAAAGAAATTGGTTGAACAGGACAATGGGTTGGTTGAAGAGGTAAGGATGTTAAGACAACACATGACGGATATGTATTGGTCTTGGATGACTGGGAAGGCACCACCCTCGCCACCACCTAGCTTCCTAGATGCTACCCTTACCTTAAGTCCGGTCATAGTGCTAGATGATCCCCCATACTCTCCAAATTTTCCCGCTTATCATAGCTTTCCCAACCACCCTAGTAGCTCCACCATTCGTCCTCCAACTACCTTTCCCAAAAATGGCCCTCCTGTCATATCCATTATCCCCACGATCACAACTTCTCAACAATCTTCCCTTCATAGATCCAACAATGAACACCCACTCAAAACTTATGATGCCAAATATTACCCCTCAGAGGTTGCCCACAAGGTCCTTGACTCATATAATCATAGCCCTCGGAATGAGCCTCATGTTGAAAATGAAAAGTTCACAGGAAAAGAAGGGCGAGATGAGATATCCAGGAAGCTGAAAGGTATAAAACAGTCCTTAAGGAGCATGCAAGGGATGGGAAATCAGATTAACATGTCTTAAAATGACTTGTGTATGTTCCTTAATGTTCATCTGCCCGCGGGGTTTAAAATACCAAAGTTTAACTTTTACGATGAGCGTGGAGATCCAGTAGTCCATCTGATGGGTTATTGCAGTGAAATGAGAAGTGTTGGCGGGAAAAATGATTTGTTGATGGTGTATTTCAGTGAGAGTTTGAGTGGGGCAGCCTTGGAATGATATACTCGTTAAGATGTCAATAAGTGACATGCATGGGATGATATGACTCAAGATTTCGTTCGACACTTTCAGTACAATCTAGCCATTATCCCAGACCGCTCCTACCTATCTAAGATGGAAAAGAAACCAGAAGAAAGTTTTAGGGAGTTTGGGCTCAGAAGGGGGGAACAAGCTGCTCGGGTCAGTCCTCCGATTGGTGAAGAAGAAATGGTTGAGCTTTTCCAACAAGACCAGGGCCCCACCTACTTTAGTCATTTGATCTCGGCCTTAGGTAAATCTTTCAATGATGTGGCAAAAATTGGGGAGATGGTAGAAGAGGGAATCAAGGCTTGCAAAATCATGAGTTATTCTGCATTGAAAGATATGATAGAAGACATTTAAAACATCTCAGTAAGTTTGGGGGGAACAAAGAGAAACAAGAAAGATGTTGAGACCTGCCAACGACAAGATCGAGTGGGCGTTCCTGGTCAACTATTTCAGCCTCGACATCGACCCCATGAATATTCTCATACTCCAGATAATCCTGCCCACTGCTACTTCTCTCCACAAAACCCCCAAATTCATACCTCACCTTCCGACTACTCCATCCACAATGCACCACCATATGCTCCACAACCATAGGACCCGCGATGGCCTGCACCTCTTCCGCAAATGTCTCACCTACCTCCTCAAGCATATCAACCACCTACCCGCAAAAGGTGCCAACTGAGGCTACAGTACAAATGAAAAGGCAATAGGAAAAAGAAAAGACTTTAACTCCTATTGGAGAATCATATGCTAGTTTGTTCCAAAGGTTGAGGCAATTGGACATGTTGAAGCCGATTCAGATAAAAATGCCGAACCCTCTTCCAATGAATTTTGATTATTCTCAATGGTGAGCATATTGCTCTAATGCCCCGGGTCACAGTATAGAAAAGTGTTGGCATCTGAAAAGAGCAGTTCAGAAGCTTGTTGATGCAGGTGACATTGTCGTGCAAAATCAAGATGCAGTAGACACTAGCCAAAGTCCATTGCTTGTTCATAATGAGACGCATATGGTGGGTATGATTTGTGTTGAAGAGGAATATGAGAACTTTTCTGAGATCCTCGGAGGGCCACTTGTCGCAAATCTTTCAGCGCTATCAGTCTCGGTTCCGGAAGTTGATCTTAAGAACGAGCTGGCAAAAGGGATCCAAACGCAATTTGCTAAGCTCAATGTGATGGAGACTTGTGAAAGTCCTAGTAATGTTGATGCGGAACTCAGTGGCTACGATGTTGAGCTTGGTGATTGGAAAGATTCTCCTTTCGTGGCTAGCCGGGGAGGAGTCTTGGTGGTTTATTTTGTTGTCATTTCTGTTGTCCGGGTTATTTCAGGGTTGTAATCCGGATATTGTCTTGTGACTCAAACCATTCTATCCTTTTATTTTGCCTAGTTTGTTTAGTCGTAGTAACTCGTTTAGTGTTATCTAGGATTGTTCCAGGGTTGTAACCCCAGTTAATTTTGTTTGTTTTGTTGTTCGAGCCCTTTCACCGTCTGTTTAATGCAATCTCCTTTTTTTGTTATTTATAGTCTGTATTTGTTTAGTTCTCTTTTCCTTTTATAGTTCTTTTCATGGTGACTCTAGTGGCATGACATGCATGTGGAATTCTCAGCTTGGTCTTAAAAGTTAGTCTAATTATGAAACAATGAGACAAGCTTTGAAAATGACAGGGACATTTGAGGGAAATAAGTAAAGATTTGGATATTTTGATATCATTTAAAGCCCGAATCGAGTGAAACTAGGGAAGATGGTTTGGGAAGTTGAGAAGATGACAAGAATTTGTTACAAGAAAGTGCGTCCCAGACAATTTGAAGCAAGCAACTTTGAGTTCAAGTGCATCTCAAGTTACAACATAAAGCCAAGGGAGTTTGCTCCAAACTGACGGAGTACATCCATTTTGAAGAAGAAATCACCCAAGAAGAGCTCTGTACTTGACAAGGCACTAAAGAAAGGTGGAAGGCATATCTGTGATACCAGTGCCGATGCTGCAAAAGAAATGTTGTGCATGATCTTCATTTTTCATCTTCAAGTTGCATGTGTTATACTTGGTATTCTTAGAGATTGGGAGGCCCTCTTTCAGCTATCCAAATACTTTATACCCTTCGATACCCCTTTAAGCCTGTGCTGATTTTTTTGACCTCACCTCTTTTGGAATCAAGTTAGAGTCATTAAAAGAATATATCCATAAAAAAATCATGTCCCTATAAGGTTTGTTTTA